ATTATCTTGCTGAACAAAATGTGTAAGTATCATAAGCTTTTGTTTGCCATGGAGAATATTTTCTATAATAATCCAAAATCTGATTGAAAAATCCTATATTTTTAAAGAGGGAACCAGGAGGAAGTGAACTTCCATGTCGCCCTACAAAAAAATGTCATCCCTGGAGCGCTTAATTGGTCCTGTTTTTGTCTATGTCCTGCTCCATGTGCATATTCCACAACACTCAAAATTAATTTTTCTGCCATTTCTGTGGTGGTATTGTAAAAAGATGCATTTCCTTGTGCAGAACACTAGAGGCATACCCTATATAAGTTAAAGGGATACAGACATGAAACAAACCTCTTTGGAAACGAGGCGGTTAGAGGTGTTGGTAGTTACGACAAAGGCAGGCTAGCTGTTTTTCCTTGTTTCAAGTCTTTATGCCAGGCTAAGCTAACTGTCTCCTGGCCACAGCCTCATTTTCAATGGACAGATATGAGAGTGGTATCTAACTTCTGTAGTGTATTTCCCGAATTCCTTGATTGATTCCTTCAATTAAATGTCTCAAATAGCTCTATTTCTGCTGCCCTACATTTCAACATGAGAGTCGTATTTTCAGATACTTTTGAGAGTATTTTCAGAGAGCTTTTATGGTCCACTCACGTATCTCATCTTTGGCGGTCTTTGGGGGCTGCAGAGACAAAATGAAGAAAAAAGATACATGTTGAAAAGCTGTACACTGTCAGCTGATATATCTTTTTCACAACCCAAGATCCTTCTGGAATAAGCTCTAACATACCTGTCAAGTGCTCAGCTGGAAGCAGCAGTTGTTTGCCTGTAACCCTAATATCTGCAAAGCAGCTCTATCCTTGTATGACACAGGACATCAAGCTGCACCAAACGGCCCCTTTAGACAGCCATCACCAGATCTATGACACATAAAGTTTCTTTAATTCTGCCCCACTTCCCCAACAGTCAAGCTGTATCAGGCCTCAGAAAAAAACACAGGGCCATCAATAAATAAACAGGAAAGCAGGTGGTACGGAGAGTGCGGGTGTCCATCTACTTTAACGTCTTTCTCAGCAGCTTCAGATGGGTGCCTATTTTTGGATGCCAAGTACTTAGTATTCCCTGTTTCAAACTGCCCACTAGTACTAGATAAGAGGAAGTCTGTATGTGAGTCTGTATGTGAGTGTGTAACAAGGTTAGAATAGTAATGGCATAGTTGCAAACAAAAAAGTGAATGTATTCTCTTAAATTACCTTGAAATGATCCATTTTGAAGACGCATTTTAAAATACTATTTCTAGAAAAATTATCAGAAGTCAATGGATGTAACATCAATCTGTAAGTGTCCCTGTGTGAAACCAAAAGTCAGCGTTGACTTATTTTAACTTAGGTAAGTTATCTTACCTAATGCCCTTAACCTACTCATGTTACACAAGTTAACTTAAGTAGTTAACTTAAGATATGTAAAAAACATAACCTATATATTTTAACCCAAACCATGATCTTTTCCTAAACCTAACCATGTAGTTTGTTTTGCCTGAACTCTGACGATTCACTATGTTAACCACTTGTTTAAAACTGCAAACATTATTGGACATATATGCACCAGGCTTTGAAGCAAATTTTGTCATTGGCCAGACAGTGGAATTGCGACTTTCGAGTCAATCACATGAGGCTGTTTGGTCCACAAAGACTTTTCAAATTATGAATGAGACACATTTGTAAATCTGTGTATACATTTTTTAGCGTCACAGCTATGACCAGTTTCATCTCTTCAGTCCAATAACATTTCAAAAGTCTAGAAAAGTTCTAGGATGAAATCATTTTATCCCAATTTAAGTAAGCAAAACACTTGACCAGAAGTAGCCACGCCGAACAGCAAAAGTCTCTAGTGGGCCTGCTCTAAAGGCTTAATGATGTGATGGCAGTGCAGATCATCTGGGTATTTTCATACCTGGCTGTTGAACATTTTTGGCTTTATGTGCCACTGAGCAGCTTTCACAGGAATGAACAGGGTCTTGCCTCCAACACTGTATCCAGATATCTTAATACATCCATGTTTGGGAGTCACTGGCAAATGAGCTAGTCTGATGTTAAGGTATAAAGACGTGTTGATTTTCTTGATTGCCATTGCTAGGAGCACTAATTTAGGAGTCTCTCCTGTAGGCTGCATCAGAGGTGATAGAAACAAACACCCTATGTGGTGGTAAAAGTGGGACGACTTGTTTGAATAATTAAACTATTTGGAAGTATGCTTTTCTTGTTCTTTTGCTGAAAGTTAAAACAGATTGCTACCACTCTCACATCTGTTATATCAATTAAATATGAAGCTTCAGGCAGTAGACACTTAGCTTAGCATACAGGCTGAAAGCAAGTAAACGCAGGTGAAACAGCTAGCCAGGCTCTATCCAAAGGTCCCAGCACCTCTATAATTCTCGAAATGATGATTTTGCATCTTATTTGGTTTTTTTTTTGTCATTGTTTTCTCCCTTTAAGTTCTTCTTCTTACATTCTTCTGACTACAGTTTCAATGAAGTGATGGAATATTTTTTGAAGGTAGCAGTGAATTCAATCTTCCATAAGACTCAATACTGCTCCTGTTAACAATTCCTCTTGAGAAAAGTACATATAGAGGCTCAAAAAGTACATTGTGAGCCTAAATTGTCTCTTTTTCAGGTACAGGAGATTTAAAAAGATTCTATTTTGAAGATAGCATATCCAATCCCTTGTGTTGTGTATAAAAAAAGGTTGAGGGCAGGTGGCACATTCTTTCATATTTCTTAAAGGAGATCAATCATTTTTTTTCAGCTGAAGATACCCAGTGCAAAATCAAACAGTAATGTGCGTTTGCACCTTCATTCATGTGTGCTGCTGTGGGTGTATTTGTGTACATACACTCCACTAAATCCGCTGGACTACAGCTCAAGCTCCTCAGCCCTATTATTATCATGCCAAGGTCAGATGAGTGGGCAACATAGCAGAGGAAGACAGATAAGTATGGTAGAACGGTTAGATAAATCAGTGTACTACTGCATTTCCATTCACTGATAGCCACCGGACCAGAAATGTAAAGGTCCATGTTTGCCATGTCTTTTCTCTGTTTTGCCCTTTTAAATCCTTCTGAATCACTTTACATCAGCAGACACAAAGGAAAGCTCTGCACAATGATACTGCACGAACACATCATTCGAGGGCTATCATGGTACGACACTTCTGGGGAGATAAACTCATTAACCACTAAATAGCTTTTAGGCAGCTATCATGTACAGTGTGTACGCGTGTGTCACAGAGAGATTGGAGGAAATGAGGGAGAGAGGGAAAGAGGTGGAGGGAGAGAAAATTGATAAATGAGGCAAATTGAAACTGAACACTTTGGGAAAAGGGAACACCGCACTCCCAGAAAATCCTTTCTTGTAAGTCTTTTTTGTACATTTGTGCATTCGAAAAGACAGTAATGGTTTGTACACCCAGTGACCAAAAAGTACACATAAATGGGGTTTTTTCAGCTGTGGTGTGTGCTTGTCTGTCTGAACCATCCCTATCTCTATCCCTGTGCCAGTAACTACTGTTGACTTTCTGATGAATCAAAAGTGATGCATTTGGAGCCTACTATTTCCTTGTTATTGTACGTCCATTAAAGATTTACACCTCTAGTACTAAACATATTCCTCCTGTGTGTGGGAAGCAGCTGTCACCTGCTGTACATTGGCTGATACAAGCCTCTCAATGGCTGACGAACACTTGACTTTATCGGAGAGGTGTTGAATTATTTGCCAGCTTTGCAGGTGAAGCCCCAAGACGAGATGTAAATAAGGTGGAGTGTACACATATGTTGAATACTGCAGCTTCTCCTAGCTCTGTGAATCCTGAATGTCATTATGCAGTTGTGAATATCATGGTTTCTCTGATCCCTGTAAAGCCTGCAGGATTAGAGCATATTAGGCTTCAAAGAATATGGTAAAGCTTTAAAAGTAACATACAGTAGCTGTACAGACAGGCCTATGTGATGGTCACTTATTAAGTCAGATGCATACACTATTATAGAGCAGAATAAATTGTATGGATGGACTGATTACTAAAGCGCACAATCTGAGCAATAATTTGATGCCTAACCAAAAATTGTTTCACTTCAGATATCGCCAAAAGCTTACAAAAGAGACAATGTGTATGAGGCTGCAGTGCTGACTTTCTGGTTTAATGGTGTTCACATCAATATCCAGTGAACTGCGTGGAAATTGTAGCCCTTTTTACACATATCCCCCAAGGGTATATGGGCTATGATTCTGACACTGCTCACCCAATAATCATCTCCAAACACCTTTAAAGCTCAAAGTCAGCACTCTAATCTCATGGTCTTTGCTTCCAGTGAGCTGCAGTACAGCCAAAATAATAAAGAGCACATCACTGGTAATATAGACACTACTCAGAGCCTACTCTATATATGAAATATTAGCTGTGCATGTGTATGGGCATGTACTGATGATTTTTTGTGAGGTAATTCCCATTGATAGACCAACAGTATTGTTTCAGCTCACCTTTGTCGGTGCTGGCATATTTATTGTAGTTTAATCATAACATGTATGGTGTGTGGTATCTATGAACCATGAGAAATCACTGTATCTGTCATTAATTATCATTCAGGTGTTAAAACAAATGTTGTGTATTTTTTCACATTGGCCAGTTATTGCCAAATCACAATAAAATTTAATGTTTTTGTGAGGAACACTGACAAATTGTTTTTTTTCCGGTTTTTTAAGCATTACTGTGTCTAATACTGTGGTCAATCATAAATCAACTTCTGCAGATTTATTTTCAAGGACCTTTTCCGTTTCTTTCTATTTTGGGAAGCTGATTGGCCGTGAGACAAAACGTGGGCGGGCTCATAGCTAGGTAGACGTCGGTGATTGGTTGTTTACTTTAAAACGTAGAGTAAGCGCTCCTCATTGGAGGGAAACGTCATAAGTCCTTTTCTTTGGTTGGCCAATGTAGCACGCGGGAGAGGTTTCCTCCAAGTTTCAAATTTTCGAAGCGGGGCTTTGAATCACTCAGCGTTTAGTGCAGTCGGGCAGAAGTTAGTTTTGGGAGTTAGGTGTGCATTGGTTAGTTATAAACGTAGTCAGAAACTGTTACTAGCACTAGGGGTTAGCAGTCAATACAAGAAGAATGGCTGAACCACTGAAGGTAACTTTATTAAACGTTGATATTTGCTGCTAACATGCTAACTTACCGTGGACTAGCCAGCAGCTAACGTTACTGTTAATGACAGCTGCAATGGAACTGCTAAGCAACGGTTACAGTTACAGCTAATGCTAGCTGAAATCGTTTGGTACAATGTTAACGTAACGTTAATTGTCGTTAACGCACACGTTAGGAAATGAGATGTTTGATGTGCTGCTATCAGTAACGCAATAACTCTCCTCCCAGACACCTGGCACGACGCCAAATGTGATATAGGCCATTACATTTTTAAGGAACCATATCGGGTCCATAACAATACCAACAAGCTAAAGTTATTTAGCTTTTAGCTAATGTAATGTTGCAACAAACGCTAACGTCTTACAGCACAAGCAAAGCTACTGTTGCTTTTCTTTAGCAGTTAACGCTAATGTTGCAGTTAGCTTAACGGTAATTGTTTATGAGCACTCCTGCGAAGTCGATTCGAAATGTGACGTTACCATGTGCAGTTATGTTTATCCAACGTTAAACTGTGTGTAAGTAACGTTAGACAAAAGTATAACTTGTCTGGTCTACAGTGTATAAATTTCGAAACTGGTGGTATTGTGACTTTACGTTAGGGGAGGAACTTAACGTGAAAGGTACAAAGTGTGGACTACATGTGCCACTTGTGTCTGCAACCAGTAAACCCCGGTTCAAACATCTGCCCTTCTGAAGTGTCATTGAGCATCACAATTAAATCAGATCCCAGTAACATTCGGGGGTGTGTGTTGTAGACTGTGCACCGATGAGTGACATTTTTAGTAGTGCGTATTTATGGTCACCAAATTGTCCCAGGTTTTGTTTTGTCTCCATGCAAACTAGATATTAAAGCAATGACAACAATGTGGAGCTGATTGTCATTGCAGATGTTGTTGGTCATTGCATGTCATTACTTGTAACACAAATAAAACTCCTGCTGCAGTCTGACTGCAGTGCAAGAAAATCCACATCAAAGATAACTCTGTGTCATTCTCACCAGTCCCTCTTTGAAAACAAGCCGGTGGAGAAGACGAAGAAAGATCCGAAGCGGCTGTCAGTGGAGAGGATCTATCAGAAGAAGACGCAGTTGGAGCACATTTTGCTCCGACCGGACTCCTACATAGGCTCTGTAGAGCCTGTCACCCAAGTAAGAGGTCACACAGAAATGTCTGTGTCTTTGAAATTGATGGCTTCTCTAATAAACCCTTTATTGATCCAAGTCCTTTGGTAAATCTCACAGGAGCTGATGTAAGATTGCACTATTTTAGATATTTTCTGAAGAATTTTGCTCCCACTGCTGAGTTGCAGGGTGTTGACAGAGCATTGATGGCTCACATTATACAAATTTATGCTGGATTTTTGTAGTCACCAGTTGACTTCTTTCCGTAGCAAATGTGGGTGTATGATGAGGATGAAGGACTGAACTGCCGTGATGTGACATTTGTGCCTGGGCTTTACAAGATTTTTGATGAGATCCTTGGTGAGTATGTAACTCTTAGAATTCTAAATGTTGTATAATGTAAATAAACAAAATAGCATGTCTGCTATAATGAAGCAATTTGTTTTTTTATTCTCTCTACAGTAAATGCAGCTGACAATAAGCAGAGGGATAAGAACATGAACTGTATCAAGATCAACATTGATGTGTGAGTAATATATAATACTGCACCACCAAGAAACATCTCAAAATAGCTTAAAATCCTACCACAGTGTCCCTTTGCTTGTAAGTTGTCAAATAGCCCCAGCTCATATCCAGCTCAACTGATTTCCTTGGTATCACAGAAGCACATGATGAAATGTGGGTGTCTGTTGTTTTTTTTTCCTTTCAGTGAAAACAACACCATCAGTGTGTGGAATAATGGGAAGGGTATTCCTGTAGTGGAGCACAAGGTGGAGAAGGTCTATGTGCCTGCTCTCATCTTTGGACAGCTCCTTACCTCCAGTAACTACAATGATGACCAGAAGAAAGTCACTGGTGAGAATGATGATGGGACTCCAAAGACTCATTTGTTTTGGTTACACTGCAGAACAGTAAATTGAACAACCTCGGTTTTATTGCTGGTTACAATAAGATTTTTTTCACCAATGAAATTATAGAGATTTAGGCATGGGATGACAGTGCTTGACAGAACTTCACCATATAGTCCAACAGCATGAGCAACATGTTCAGTTAAATGATCAGAAATGTTTTAAACAAAACCTCTTTAACTGTAATGTCGTTAGTGAATATTACAGTAAACAACCCCAAAATACCTGTTTAAAGGATTAACAAAAAAAATAATGAATAATTTCATTGGTAAGAGTAGAGTTTACACACACCCCATCTCCTGAAAAAATATTTCATCATAATGGAGAAATGGCAAACTATGAATGTAAAACCAAGGTTGTCATCAGATATGTAACTAAAAGCCACAGTTTGGGTTTTGTTTAAACAAGCTACAGCCATGTTTCATGTTAAATCAGTAGGTCATTACTTTTCTCATATCCTAACCCACATCTTCATACTGATACTTGTTCCTTAGGTGGACGCAATGGATATGGTGCTAAGCTTTGCAACATCTTTAGCACAAAGTTCACCGTAGAGACTGCCTGTAAAGAATCAAAGAAGACCTTCAAGCAGGTAGGAGGAAGGCTGAAGCACATTTGCTTCTTTGTAGTCATTGTAACTTGTAAGAGAGAAATGTGACTTTACAGTGTGTCCATGTTCTTCACAGACTTGGTATGACAACATGGGCAGGGCAGGTGATAGTAACATCAAATCCTTTGACGGAGAGGAATACACCTGCATCACCTTCAAGCCGGACCTCGTCAAGTTTAAAATGACCATCCTGGACAAAGATACGGTGGCTCTGATGACCAGGAGGGCATACGACATCGCTGGATCCACCAAAGGTGTCCGTGTGTACTTCAACGGCAAGAAGCTGCCAGTAAGTTACCATGCTGTTTTTCTTTGCCATCTACCAACAGTCTCTGCCTTGAGTATGAATTGGTTTAACGGGGTTGCAACTCAGGATTATTTTCATTAACGACTAATCTGCCAGTTATTTTCATGATTAATTGTTTAGTCCGTTAGAATTTAAAAAAACTGAAAAATGCTCATAAAAATTTCCCAGAACCCAAAGCGACATCCTCAGTTAGCTTCTTTTGTCCAAACAACAATTCAGAACCCATGAACTCTTTATTTACTATCATAAATGACAAAGAAAAGCATCACAATTCTCACATTTAAGAAGCTAGAACCAGCAAATGTTTGACATTTTTCCTCAAAAAATGACCGAAACAATTCAGCGATTATCAAAATAATTGGTGATTCATTTTTGTTTTGATCGACTTATTGATTAATTGACAAGCGATTAAAGCTCTGGGGTTTTATTTATCCTTTTGATTATGATTAATTACATGTCCTTTCACATATGATTAATTAGGTAGATTCAACATTAACTCTTAACATTATCAAAAAAATGTAAAGACAAAGAGAGTTTTTTTTGTTTTTAGCTTTCAGGCTGCTACATATCATGCCACTTCTCAAAGCATTTTTACATCTTAAACTGCAATACTTACTTTTAACGATTTTCCGGATCATTGCATAAACCTGTAGGGGTTTAATTTTCTGATAAAGACTAAGACGACTCTTGTACTCCAGATTACAGGTTTCCGTAGCTACGTGGACATGTATGTAAAGGACAAGGTGGACGAGCTTGGCGGTGCCCTCACTGTAGTCCACGAGATTGTCAACGAGCGCTGGGAGGTCTGCCTCACCATGAGTGAGAAAGGTTTCCAGCAAGTCAGCTTTGTCAACAGCATCGCCACGACCAAGGTAATGTCACAGCGTATCAGGTCTTTCGAAGTGCATTTATCTTACATGTAATGGAGTGATTGAGTGTGAGGGTTGTGACCTCAATGTCAAACCAATAATTTAATATTTTTACGTAGACTGTTGGAATACTGAGCACCAATTTTAATTTAATTTGTCAGCCCTGTTTGAATTAACATTGTAGAGCAGCTATGAAGCATTTTAAGGCTGACTGAACTAGTCGACCAGGGTCCTTTGGCAGCTAAGTACAAATTTGGCTGCTCTCCCAGCCACTTTGTGTCACTATGATTAAGACGTATGTCATTTATTCTGTAAATGGGATCTTGTGTTTGTCCTCTCAACCTTAGGGAGGGAGGCACATCGACTACGTGGCCGACCAGGTGGTTGGCAAGCTCATTGAAGTGGTAAAGAAGAAGAATAAAGCTGGGGTGGCTGTCAAGCCTTTCCAGGTACAGTCATTTTGAACTCTGACCATAGAAGGGTTTTATATGAAGCTGAAATTGTGTAACATACAGTGAGTATACTCCGTTTTCTCTCCATCCAGGTGAAGAACCACCTGTGGGTGTTTGTCAATTGCCTGGTTGAGAACCCCACCTTTGACTCTCAGACCAAAGAGAACATGACTCTGCAGCAGAAGAGCTTTGGATCAACTTGTCCTCTCAGTGACAAGTTCATTAAGCAGGTGTGAATGAAAAACCACTGGCATTGCCTTGTTACCCTCAGAAGTGAAATTATTCCAGTATCTCTAATTCCTTCATTCTCTGTTCTATAGGCTACATCCTGTGGGATTGTGGAAAGTATCATGAACTGGGTGAAGTTCAAGGCTCAGACCCAGCTAAACAAGAAATGCTCAAGTGTTAAACACACAAAAATCAAAGGAGTGCCCAAACTGGATGATGCCAACGATGCAGGTATTGTACACCACACCATTTTCTGTCTTTTATAAGAAAGTCTAGCCTCACGAGGAAGCACATGAGCTGCCATTGTCCTGCATTAACCGTGCTCTCTGGCAGGTGGGAAGAACTCCATCGGCTGCACACTGATCCTCACTGAGGGAGACTCGGCCAAGACACTTGCTGTGTCTGGGCTGGGAGTGGTCGGCAGGGACCGCTATGGCGTCTTCCCTCTCAGGGGAAAAATGCTCAATGTTCGGGAGGCCTCACTCAAACAGGTTAGGCCTAGCAGCCAGTCATTATATGGCAGCATGTGTCTTACAAATCATAAAGATAGATCTGTGTTTTTACCTTGGATGGACACTGATGCATCAATAGTGTCTTAGAGCAATTGGTTCAATCAGAGAAAACCATGAGCATCATCTGTCTGTAATGCAGTCCAGCAAACAGCTAAGAGTGAAAATTGTGCGGTTTTCATCAGATCATGGAGAATGCTGAAATCAACAACATCATCAAGATCCTCGGCCTTCAGTACAAGAAGAACTACAGTGACCCAGAATCCCTCAAGACCCTGCGTTATGGCAAGATCATGATTATGACAGATCAGGTGCGCCAGCAGTTGCGTTTGATCTTTATTCTCATCTTAGACATCTGCTTTTCTTTTTTAGTGTTTCCAATTTGTGTTAATCATTTCAAATTTCGAGAGGTATTAATATTAATCTTTACTGACTGACATTAATATGACTCGACTCTACTGTCTTCCTGTGATTGTGACAGGATCAAGATGGCTCCCACATTAAGGGCCTTCTGATCAACTTCATCCACCATAACTGGCCATCACTGCTGCGACACAACTTCCTGGAAGAGTTCATCACCCCCATCATCAAGGTATGAAGTCTCACTCTGCAGCTACAGGAGTTTATTGATTATGAAAGTAGCTAAGTAAATTTAGGATAGAGCATACAGTGTGAGGCTAAGGTGATTTTTAGTCCTGATAGATTCAAACTTTCTGAGTAGTCTCCCTAAATTTGTAACAACAGTGCCACCTGCTGTCAAAACCACAGAACACTGTCTTGAATCCTTCTTGATACGGATCATAGTCTATCCTTATTTTACCATGTTGTTGTCAAACATGTTAACTATTTAAGTGACATGATGGGAAGATGAGGTGATTGCTGATGTCTGTTATTTCCCTCTCTTTAGGCATCTCACAAGAAAACTCAGCTGTCTTTCTACAGTATCCCTGAATTCAACGAGTGGAAGGAAAACCAGCCCAATTTCAAATCTTGGAAAATAAAATACTACAAAGGTTTGTTACAAAACCCCTGTGTGGTAGTAAAAGATTACAAGTAAGCAACCCTTCATACCTGGCCAATGTCATGGTGATGGTCTTGTGTGTCATTAAAATGTTCTATCTAATCGCTTCTCTTTCTTTGTGGCCTTCGTCCATCCAGGTTTGGGAACCAGCACATCGCAAGAAGCAAAGGAGTACTTCTCTGATATGCAGAAACACCGTATCCCATTCAAGTACTCTGGACCTGAAGACGATGAAGCTATCACCCTTGTAAGATGTTAACCATTTGTTTTGCTCATTTATTGGCCAATGGAATGTATACTACACCCTAGAAAGGATCATGTCAACTTTAATTTAGCCTTTTTAGACTTTGAATTTCATTTGTAAATTCATTACAGGGTGCCTTTTAGGTTTAATCCAACCTCCTGGCTTTTTTGTTTTGCATAGGCCTTTAGCAAGAAGAAAGTGGAAGAGCGTAAAGAGTGGCTGACCAACTTCATGAACAACAGACGCCAGCGCAAGGCTCACAACCTGCCTGAGGTAATGTCAGCAACAGTCGGTGACCTTTATGTGCTCTATTAGTGTTTTGTGTGTAGTTTCATCGCATCTCTTGCTGTCTCTTCACAGGAGTACCTGTACGGTCAGACCACCAAATCTCTTTCGTACAATGACTTTGTCAACAAGGAGCTGGTCCTTTTCTCCAACTCTGACAATGAGAGGTCAATCCCCTGCCTGGTGGATGGTGTGTGAAATTATTTTGATCATCAAGAACATGTTTGTAAATATTTACGAAGCACTGATAGGTGTGAGACTGGTTTAAAGTGTATCTGCATGTGTGTGTACATCAGGTATGAAACCAGGCCAGAGGAAGGTGCTGTACTGTTGCTTCAAGAGGAATGACAAGCGGGAGGTGAAGGTGGCCCAGTTGGCCGGCTCGGTGGCTGAGATGTCAGCCTACCACCATGGAGAGGTAAGATTAATTTTTTGGGACTTAATGCAAAACATCCTGATCAAATTAATATTAGGCTGACTCATCCTGGTGAGCAATGCTAGCTATGTGAAGTGTTTTTGATTATACTGTTGATGTAATCTCTTTATCTCTTAATTTTCAGGTCTCTCTGATGATGACCATTGTTGGTTTGGCCCAGAACTTTGTCGGAAGCAACAACTTGAACCTGCTGCAGCCTCTGGGTCAGTTTGGAACCAGGTTGCATGGTGGCAAGGACTCCGCCAGCCCTCGATACATCTTCACCATGCTCAGGTCAGCAGCCCTACAAACTACAAATAATCTGAAGCCACAGACCTCCTTCGCACATTTGAGAATGTGGGGGGAATTAATTTCATGGTTAACAGAGTCAGTGATTAACTCAAAAACTCTCCCAACTTTCTTTCCTTCCAGCTCCCTGGCCCGCCTCGTTTTCCCATCTGTGGACGACAACCTGCTCAAGTACAACTATGATGACAACCAGCGCGTAGAGCCGGAGTGGTACATGCCCATCATCCCCATTGTGCTGGTGAACGGCTCCGAAGGTATTGGCACAGGCTGGGCCAGCAAGCTCCCCAACTACGACATCCGAGAGATCGTCAGCAACATCCACCGCATGCTCAACGGTGATGAGCCTCTGCCCATGGTGAGGACAAGAAATGGCTGTTGCTCTTTCTGAGATTTTATTTCCTCTGGGTTACAAATCAGATGATGAGGTTGTTTTGCTTTTCTTATAGCTTCCAAACTACAAAGGCTTCAAAGGGACAATTGAGCAGGTGATGGACAACCAGTACATCAACAGTGGAGAGGTGGCCATCATTGATTCAACCACCATTGAGATCTCTGAATTGCCAGTCAAAACCTGGACGCAGGTTAGTCACTAAAGCTTTATCCTTCCTATTAGGGACATGTTCAGGATGCTCCATCATTCATTTTAAGTATGTTCATTTTAATTGCCTCTATATGTGATTTCCCACCATACCCTGTGGTCTAGGCCTACAAGGAGAACGTGCTGGAGCCAATGTTGAATGGCACAGAGAAGGCCCCTCCTCTGATCACAGACTACAAGGAATACCACACTGACACCACTGTGCGCTTTGTGATTAAGATGACCGCAGAGAAGCTGAGTGAAGCAGAGGCTGCTGGTCTCCACAAAGTCTTCAAACTACAGACCGCCCTCACCTGCAACTCTATGGTAACTGCTGCCACACTTAGGCACATATCTAATGTTTCAGAGACTGACGGCAGCTCAAGTATTCTTGTACCTAACTGTAAAATCTCCACCTGCTTCCTTTTGTTTTTTAGGTTCTGTTTGACCATGTGGGCAGCCTGAAGAAGTATGAGTCTGTGCAGGATATTCTCAAAGACTTCTTTGAGTTGAGGATGAAGTACTACATGCTGAGAAAGGACTGGTTGGTCGGCATGCTGGGGGCAGAGAGTGCTAAACTCACCAATCAGGCCCGCTTCATCCTGGAGAAAATCCAGGGCACCTTGGTCATTGGTCAGTAGCTTGTTTCAATTTTTGTTTAAAACATACACTGCTACAGCTTGATTTGAAAGACACACAAACAAGAAATATAAATAGTTCTTATTTTTACATTACTGTCCACTATCAATGAGTGATATACTAGCCTTAAATTAGATGTTGAATAATAACTCATTTGGAACAGCCTCTGAAGTTGAAATATTTATGGCAGTCATAATTTAGATGACAATTTAAGCCATAATTGTGCAGACCTAGATTTTCCTTGATCAAAAGTATTAACACTGTTCATCTGCTTGTAGAGAACAAGCCAAAGAAGGAACTCATTCGCATGCTGCAGCAGATGGGCTACGACTCTGACCCAGTCAAGGCTTGGAAAGAGGCTCAAGAGAAGGTGGGATGCTTTGAATCATGTGGCTTTCAATTACATTCACGAGGAGTGCTAGATAACCTGTCTTCATCTGTGCATTCAAAATTATATATTTGTGTTAATGCTCTTAGAACCAGGAAGAAGAGGTGGTGGAGGAAGAGGAAGAGGAGGAAACGGAGAAGGACACCAGCGGGCCAGACTACAACTACCTGCTGAGCATGCCCATGTGGTACTTGACCAAAGAGAAGAAAGATGAGCTGTGCAAGCAGAGGGATGCTAAGGTGTGATGTTTAGCTATCCTGCAATTTTATTGGTTGGTTTATCTTGTGTAAAAGTTGCTTATTCGTGACCCAACTGCTATTTTATAGATGACAGAGCTGAACACGCTGAAGAAGAAGTCTCCAGCCGACCTGTGGAAGGAAGACCTCGCTGCTTTCTGCGAGGAACTGGAGGTATTGGCTCTTCATCTGTCTACACTTTATCTGTACATCCACCTCATATTGCCAATCACATGAGCATGCATGCACTGATTCAAGCCCTGTCACACTTTCCCCTCCTGAGTAATCTTTCAATCTTGTTCCTCAGAACATTGAGGCCAAAGAGAAGGAGAACGCCAGCATGCCCATCGTTAAAAAGGGGGCTGGAAGAGGCAAAGCAGTGAAGGTGAAGCAAGAGACTCTGCCCACACCACAGGGTCGCCGCGTCGTCCCGCGTGTCACCAGCACCATGAAAGCTGAAGCTAACAGGAAGGCTGATCTCAAGAAAGGAGAAGGCAAGAGGGGCAGGAAAGTCAAGGTAGGTGCTTTCAGATTAAATTAAATCACAAGAACGCATTAAAAAACATGAAGACCTAATGTAAAAGCAAAGGCTAGAGAGTAGTAGTCAGCTTGACCGAATTTCTGTGATTTTAGACTGAAGACGTCGTGATGAAGATGGAGTTTGGAGAAGATGCTGAGAACACAGAGCCAAGTGAAGAGATGGGCTTGGCTGCACGACTTGGCAAGAAAACTAAAACCCAGACAAAGGAAAAAGGTGAGAATGGCTGAAAATGTTTTGAGGTGTCAGAGGTTTCTCTTAAGAGAAGCTCAAACAACAGACCAACATATCAAACTGTACAATTTATCCTCTCTGATGTACAATTTTCATCATATATCCTATAAAAATTGAATTGCAGTCAAACAAATTAACAAAAAGTAAATTAAAATTATTATTAAATCATTGGAACTTGTTATGTTCAACAATAAATCCTGTGTCCTGTTAGAAGATGCAACCAGTGAGTCATGGCTCTTTAGTGACATCTAGTGGCAGCTCTGAGAAACATCATTTGCTCTTCTACAACCCTCAGAGCATTTTTAAAGTAAAAAGCTGAGGTTTTGTTTATACCTTCCTGATAGGTAAATTATATTGTACTTCAGAGATAAGATACAAGGCTGTGTATCATAACAGTGTTTATTATATCTACCTGCATCATGATTACAGACTGACTCAAGTGACGTGTCATACTGCTCGAGCTATCAAAGCAATATAAAGTTTACATGCCTTATGAAACAGGCACACTGACAGACTTCTGCTGGATGTTTGTAGAGTAGTAACAGTGTGCAATGACCATTTAAAGTAATGGGTGAAGGTTAATTATTATTGCACCTTTTTAAATACTTGATCTTAACCGACTGTATAGAAGCTGCATTGCATTTGTATTGAAGATGACTCCGATACACACTTCTCTGCAGCAGCAGCATCGAAGACCAGCAAGCAGGGCACTCTTCAGTTTCAACCCGTTGCCAAGAAGACCAAGAAGAATCCGTGGTCAGATGAGGAGTCTGGCAGTCTGTCCAACAGTGAAATCGAGGCAGAGGAAGTGGCTGCCCCCAGAGAGCGAGTCGAACGCAAAACTAAAGGTGAGTGCTAGATGACCCTGACGCATATCTCTGCTTATAGGTAGACTGCTTATGTTTCCCATCTATTGTCCTCCTTTGAAAAGACTCTGTTCATACATACTGAACACATGGCACATCACTATTCTAACTTCCTTTACTCAGACAGTGAGACAAGATGCAATCACTCTGTAAATGTTTGTGATTCAAACTCAGTACACTGACAGAATGCATTTCCTGAGGCTAATTAGCGCGCCAATCTCAATTTACCCCAAACTGATTTTCGCAACAGTTGTTTTGATTATCCCTCTATTATGGGAGGACTTTAGTAAAACAGAACTAACAAATCCTCATCACATGGCAGCATTGTTCAATTAAACCCCTCTGTTACCTGTTTCTAAAGCTGCGGTGAAGTACAACATGTCCGACAGTGAAAATGAATTTGATGACTGGGGAAAGGAGGGCGCTCCAAAGCGGAAAGCTGCCATCAGCGACGATGATGATGACAGCTTTGTCCCCGAGCCCATGGCTGACAGCGAAGTTGACTCTCCAGCCCCTCCCCCCAAAGCTCCAGAACCCATGTGAGTATTAAACAACCTGATGCATGGAGCTTCTTACACATCTTTGCAGTCAAGTTATAAATCAAGTTTTTTTCTACACAGGAAGAAAACAGTAAAGAGCAAATCTACAGTGAAACAAGCTAAAACCACTTCAAGCTGTAAGTATTTTCACAACGCCCTTCATGTGATAAACCTGACAAGGGTTGTGCTATAGGTCTGAGGTTTAATTATTTGCTCTTTGTGGTACTTTGCAGCTCAATCAGATGATCAGGTGCCTGCACCCAAGGCTCCAGTTCAACGTAAAACAAAGGAGGCAGCACCCAAGAAGGCTGCTGCTGCTAAGAAACCAGCTGCACCCAAGAAGAAGGCTACAGGTATTTAAAAAAGTTTGCGTAGCGTAATTAGGGACAACTCAGAGTGGTGTAAATGTCACATGAACTGAAGAGCAGATGCAAGGATGAAGTATAAAAGTTTTAATATTGCTGTTTTTATTGATTTCCTCATTGTCGCACTGTAACACTACGTGTACACATTTGTCACACATATTTCAGGTAAGCACATGTTTGGTGTGCGAATAAATTCAATGCATCTTTCCCCCATCTGCGTAGTTATTTCTCCTGTTATCTCCTAATAGACGCAAAGCAGCCATCCATCCTGGATGCTCTGTCCAAGTCCAAACCTGCGTCCAACACAGCTGCCAAGAAGGTCCCTTCATTTGACTCCAGTGACTCAGAGGGTGAAGTCAAAGCTCCAGTTACAAAGGCCAAGCCTATTGTGAAACGGAAACAGATCGCCAGCGACGACTCCGACAGCAGCTCAGACAACCTCATGTCACGCATCAAGGGCAAAACAACTGCCAACAAGGTCAGTTTCTACACTGAACTCTGATTTCAGAAAGGTCTTTAGGGATTAATGGACCATGAGGCCTCATTTATATTGATTTACATGCTGAAATGCCAATATTAGTGAAAATTATGATTAAAAATTGTACTAAATTGGTCTCTTCTAGTGTGTAAATTAATTTCACATAAATATTTAGGTAAGAAGTTATAGGTGTCTTTTCAATAACTTCCATGTAATGTGTCCCAGTGGCTTAAATTTGATTTCAAAATGTATCACTACACAGGACACACTACTTTATGTGGCAATTTGTAAAGCTCTATTTTGAGCGCTGTATTTAAAGTCACTATAAACACATTTCCTCACATTTTCTCTGCAGAAAATCAAGAAGTGGGACGATGATGAAAGCTTCCAGGTTTCGGACCAGGAAGAAGCAGCTCCTGTATCCAAGGCACCGCGAGACAAGCCCTCACGTGCCCGCAAACCTGTAACCTACAACCTGGACTCAGATTCAGATGAAGACTTTTAAGGTTCACTCTCTGAGTCAGTTTTAGATTTAGTATCGATATAGAAAAGTTATACAGTTTATGCCAAGCGATTAATACGGCATTGTTTAATTACTTGAAGAATGGTTGCATTTACACTCGTGGTTTAAAAAGACCTGCTGTCCTAAAAAAAGATTTATTCTAGCAAAGGTTCTCTTCTGCTCTTTAACAGGATGTTAAAGAGCAGAAGTCAAAGAAAAAGCTTGGCCTACATTATACATGTGCACAAGTCTAGTTTTAATCCTGGAATTACATACTCCTAGGCTTCTTGAAATGTCTGTTTGACTCCATTTATTTGTGTTTTGTCTTGTCTTGTAAATATTTCAATGGCTTTTCATGTTATATTTAGAAAAATAAAGTTGTTTTGTATTAATTCTGCTTGAAATTGTTATTTGCTTTGGGGCTAGCATCTGGGGAAATCTGTTATCTGTCTTTACAAGTCATTACTCAAATGTGTGTGTGAGGGAGGGAGGAGCATCAGCTACACATGAGGTAGATATACTGTAGTGTGATGGGAAACGTCATTAGGATATGTGGATGGGTGAGTAGCATTTTATTTCATTTACAGTAGAATTTTCATGTATATAATCGCTGGAAAACATTCTTGATGCATGCATAAAACAACAAATCTTGAACTTCAAACTTCTAAGTGCAAATAAAATACTGAGCTGTATTTTAATGCTGCTAACTGAATGAAGTACACTGCATGTAAAACTAATCAGAGGGTGCGTTAAGCAAGTTTCGTGTCCACCTTGGCCCGGGGAAACTGGTGGTACAGCTTAAAACAGATCCTTCCTGCCATTTAGGAAGCTCTTTGAAATGCTCATCAAGACTTTGCCTTTCTTGGGTAAACATCACTTTTCTCTCTGGGACCCTTGATGTGTACAGATTAGCAGGAATTTCCTAAACTGTTGCCGCCCTCTCGGTTATTAGCCCCGGCAAACCTCAATCACATGCCATTGGGAGAGAGTGTGGAAGGAATATAAGCTGCATATGAGCATAATGATTGGTTTGGATACTAGTTAATTGTTTTCAAATCCCCTGTTAGTTTTTTCCAAGGACATATGAGTGGTGGAAGACAAACTAGAAACTGGATTTTTCAGGATTATCAAAGAGGGTAGGTTTCACATTTCTGCATTAGGTACATGAAATGCCTCAGGCTGAATCTGTTATCTTAGTGCCACTGGCTTGTTCCTGAACGCTGTACCTGAGGAGAGTATCATAACGGTAAGTGGCTCTTCCAGTCAGTGACTTCCACATGTAGCGGCTTGCAGCTGATCGAGACTGTATTACAACTGTTGGCCTTAAAGTTGAGTTCAAATGAGTATCAAACATTACTGGATAGTACAGGGTGTCCCATTGTGGAGCTCAACTGTTTTCTCTTAAAATCTCCAAGAGCATGTTTTAAATTAATCTAGGGCTGCATAATATGAGGGAAATATGCTTCATATGTTTCAACATTGAGGTCCCCATCCAGAAAGTTTTGACTGTCAAACAATTTCCTGAATTCTGGTGATTTTTTTTATGCACCAATTTGTGCCTTTTCTGCATCAATTTATCCTGTAAATGTCTTTGATTATGTCAAAATAAAAGTCATCTGCTACTTTCATGCACACATTACAAATATTTAGGGGGATGTGTCCCTATTATTTACTCAAGATTGTCAAAGTGTTCTCAGTTCTTCCTTCCTATACCTTCAGTATACAGTGGCATGCAAATGTTCGGGCACCCTGGTCAAAATTTCATTTGCTGTGAGTAAGTAAGTAGTAGATGAACTAATTCCCAAAATGCATGAAGTAAATATGACACATTTCTTCAACATTTTAAGCAAGATGACTTCTTTTTATTTCAATATTTTACAGTTTCAAAATAACAAAAAAGGAAAAGGGCCTGAAGCAAGAGTTTGGGCATCCTGCATGGTCAGTACTTAGTAGCACCCTCTTTGGGAAGTATAACGGCTTCTAAATGCTTTTTGCAACCAGCTAAGAGTCCTTCAATTCTTGTTTGGAGGATTTTCACCCATTCTTCTGCTTCTAGCTTTGTGAGATTCTTGGATCGTCTTGCATACACTGCTTTTTGAGGTCTATCCACAGATTTTCAATGATGTTTAGATTGTCGGACTTTGATGGCCATGGCGAAACCCTCAGTTTACGCCTCTTGAGGTAGTCCATTGTGGATTTCGAGGTGTATTTAGGATTATTGTCCTGTTGTAGAAGCCATCCTCTCTTCATCGTCGGCTTTTTTACAGATGGGTGTGACGTTTGCTTCCAGAATTTGCTGGAATTTAACTGAATCCATTCTTTAATCTACCTGTGAAATGTTCCCCGTGCCACTGACTGCAACACAAGTCCAAAGCATGATTGATCCACCTCAGTGTTTAACAGCTGAACCGGTGTTCTTTTCATGAAACGCTACATCCTTCTTTCTCCAAACATACCTTTGCTCATTGTGTCCAAAATTTCTATTTTGACTCCATTTGTCCACAGGACTTGTTTCTAAAAAGCATCAGGCTTGTTTAGATGTTCCTTTGCAAACTTCTGACACTGAATTTTGTAGTGAGGATGCAGGAAAGGTTTTCCTTCTGATGACTCTTCCATGCGCAGGTGTCTCTGTACAGTTTAACAGTGCACCACCACTCCAGAGTCTGCAAATTTATCTGCAGATCTTTTGCCGTCAAATAATGGTTTTGATTTGCCTCTCTAACAATACTACAAGCAGCTCTCTTAGAAAGTTTTCTTGGTTATCCAGACCTCATCTTGACCTCCACAGTTCCTGTGTTAAGTGCCATTTCTTAAGTACATTACAAAGTGAGGAAACAGGCAGCTGTTTAGACTAGTCCATGGCTGCTAAAAGTTTCAGGAGTCAGAATATTTATAAAGCTTTAAAATTTACTTCACTTGGCCTTTCCTAAGGATGACTGTGAACAAGCCAGAGTCCTAACAAGCTAATCATGGTCTGAGACCCTGTAAAAGTTGTCTGAGAGCTCAAATGTCTTGGGGTGCCCAAACCTTTGCATGGTGTGCCTTTCCTTTTTTCCACTCGTAGTTCCACTTGTACGTAACAAAAATAATACACAAATCTAGCATGTTTGATCTTTAACTTCATGCCCTCTGGAGCTCAGTTCATCTTTTACTTACTTTACAGTTCACAGTGAATGAAATTTTGATCAGGGGTGCCCAAACTTTTGCATGCCACTGTACCACTAAAATACTGTACAACAAGCTGTTTATGTTGTGCAACCCTTAATGAAACCTAAAGACCTAGGCCAGTGTTACTGTTTTATTTCTTAAGTGATGTGCTTAAGTGGCTGTTATTGTAGGTGGTATAATAGTGTTATACTTTTGGTTTCAGGTCACTGGAATGTGAACCCTATCACTACTGTGGGCACTTAAACCCTGGAGCAACCTTTGATCTGCAGGTCAGTCTGTTCAGTCTCGTCATGACTCATGGATTGGATATAATAAGATACATTTTAGTTTCTTTTTTAAAGCTGAGACAGATTTTGCTCTGAGACGGACAGGAAGGACAATCTTCAGACTTCCAAGAAGCACTACCCAAGACAAGCACTGTAGTCATGGGTGAATGGGGCTTCCTCGGCGGGCTCTTTGATAGCCTCCAGGCCCACTCGCCAATGCTTGGCCGTTTCTGGCTCTTACTCATGCTTGTCTTTAGGATACTGATCCTGGGAACTGTAGCCAGCGACCTGTTTGAGGATGAGCAAGAGGAGTTCGCCTGCAACACCCTCCAGCCGGGCTGCAAACAGGTGTGCTACGACATGGCCTTCCCTATCTCCCAGTACAGGTTCTGGGTGTTCCACATAGTCCTGATCGCCACACCTTCCCTGGTTTTCCTCATGTATGTCATGCATCACCACAACAAGAGGACCAGTAAATCCAAATCCAGCCAGGTTAGAGCCCAGGACTACAGAGAAGACCTCCGGTTAAGGAGGCTTTACATTGTCAACGTGGCTTTCCGCATCGTGGCGGAGATTGGCTTTCTAGTGGGCCAGTGGCTGCTGTATGGCTTCAAGGTGGAGGCCCAGTTCATCTGCAATCGCTTTCCTTGCCCCCACACAGTGGACTGCTTCACCTCGCGCCCTGCAGAAAAAACAGTCTTCCTCTGCTTCTACTTCATCGTAGGGGTGATATCAGCTATTTCCAGCATCGCAGAGCTTTTCTACAGCTCCGCAAAGTGGTTCTGCTCAAGCCAGAAGCCCTTCATCCCGGAACGCTCCTGCGTCTGTCAGAACCTCCACAACAGCAAGAAAGAGGAGGTGGAAGCAGAGGAGAAACCACAAGGAAAGAAGGTGTCAGAGAGCACCATGAGGCTGAAGGGAGGATCACTGAGGAGCAGCGCAAGCAGGAAGGGCTACAGCATCAGCCACAAACACAGGGGCAGCAAATATGTGAGCAGCAGGACATTTATGGTGTGAGAGGGCCTTGATTGTAACACACTGCAATTTATTATTTTATCTAAATTTCATAACAATAATCCCTATGCCGCTTCACTAAAAAGTATCTCGCTGTTGATGACTTTCGTGATGAGAGACATCATAAGGAAATGCTCAGGAGACAGTCCTAAAATCAGGAAGTAAGCAAAGACAAAAAAAGACTGATGGTTGTGATAAGGCGGACACATTGTTGACTTGTGTGGTTTGATGAATCATTACAGACCATAAACAAGTTCAGGAGGGGGAAGAGTCTGGATTACACTTGATTCTTTGTTTCAAAGAGAACTGATTGTACATCCTTGTGCCACACCTTTAACGGAAAACCAGTGAACATTGTGAACGTTGGATAGGGTGTCTCTATGTCCTTAAAGAACTTAAATTCAATTATAAAAATATTACACCTTAAAATTCTTTAAATAGTCTTGAATTTCAATTTTATTTCCACGTTTTACAAGTCTTTAAATCTACAACTGAACCTAATGCTGTCTTTTTACTTCACACTCATACTTACCCGTTGGCAGAACCTGACTCACTCTAATAACCATATTCCTGCATAACACCTACCTCTGCATGGAAGCACATATATACTGCATATCTTTATAGGATTAAGATAAACTGGTCTGATATGATTAGGATGGGCACAGCAAAGATAAAAAAATCACTGGTCCCAGAACCTGTGAAGTAAGCCATGATCTTCTGTTTCTGGTTGTAAGAGTGCTGCAGCTAAAACAACAGGGGTATGACAACAAGGTGGTTGTAGGATGTTACATTTTATTAATTTCCTGATTTCTAATACACTTCACTTTTTATGGGAAAGGGTTTTGAGTGAGTACTTACTGCATTCAGGAGGAATGGGACATTTTTCTAAGGTGAGACCAGCTTGTTTTTAGGCTACCAGGTGCCATGCAATCATGACTTGGGTT